CTGGGGGATTGAACCGCGGTCCCTGTGCTTTGCCAAGCTTGTTCCAAGTAGGTGCTTTAGACCACTGAGCCATCTCACCAGCCCCTATTTGTCTTTTTTTAAAAATTGTTTTTAAATTGTTTTTCTGTTTTTGAGACAGGGTCTAGCCATGCAGTTCAGGCTGGCCATGAGCTCACTTTGTAGCCCAGGCTGGCCTCAAACTTTCAACCATCCTCTGCCTCAGCCTCCCGAGTGCTGGGATTACAGGCATGCACCACTACGCCCAGCGAGGACTATTTGTCTTTATCTCCTCCAACCCCCAGGTGAATATTAGAATCTCATGCTGAGCTCCACATGGCAGTGCATGCCTCTAATCCTAGCACTCTTCAAGGCTGAAGCTGGAGGATCACAAGTTCAAGCCCAGCCTGGACAAATCAGAGAAAGAGAGCCTGTCTCAAAATAAAAAAGGGTTGGGATAGAGCTTGGTGTGAGAGTCCTAGATCCAATCCTCAGTACTGGGGCAAAGAAAAAAGCAAGTCATGAGAGGAGTAGGTAGGTGGACACAGTTTGTAGTTAAGGAGCTCCCTGGGGTGGGGCTCTGTCCAAATGGACAAAGAGGTGTGGCAAATCTGCTTTCTTATAGTCACCCCTTAGCCATGCTTGGCTCCTAAAGACAGATGGGGGACAACTAACCTGTTCTCTGGCGAGACCCAGGTCCCAAGCCCCGGCAGTTCCCATTTGCAGGAATCTCTGTCCTCCCAAGAAGCCACTCATTTGTTCTGCAGGTATTTATCAAGCACCTGTTACACTGGGAGCCGAGGGAGGTTCTGGCAGGTAACCACCTCTGTCTCGGTGGAGCTTACAGTCTAGCAAAGGTCCAGTTGTGCGTGGAACAGGTTTCTGTGTATTCCTGCTCCATCTGGTCAATTACCCAACCCTGGACTCGTCTGCAGGCGAGCTGACCTGAACGGCAGCAACATGGAGACGGTGATCGGGCAGGGGCTGAAGACCACCGATGGGCTGGCCGTGGACTGGGTGGCCAGGAACCTGTACTGGACAGACACGGGCCGAAACACCATCGAGGCCTCGAGGCTGGATGGCTCATGCCGAAAAGTACTGATCAACAACAGTCTGGATGAGCCCCGGGCCATTGCTGTGTTCCCCAGGAAAGGGTAAGTTTGTGGGCAAGGAGAGGAGAGGCCCTTGGCACGAATGCTGAGATAAAAATGGCATTGGCTCCTCAGCAGACTAAAGCGCCTGTTTAGGCAGAGCATAGCAGTCGGGGCTGGGGCTCGATCCCCGGCATGCTCTGCCAGCCTCACCCCTGGGGCGCACTGAGACAGTGAATGAGACTGGGCGTGGTAGCACCCACCTGTAATCCCAGCACTTGGGAGGCTGAAAACAGGAGGATCACTAGGAGTCTGATTTACATAGTGAGACCCGGTAGACTCTGTACTAAAAAAAAAAAAAAAAGTGGCATTGGCTCATCCCTGTGTCCTGTTCACCTCTGGGTGCCATCACCCATGCCCTGAATGTGACGCCACTGCAATGTCCCAGATACCTCTTCTGGACAGACTGGGGCCACATTGCCAAGATCGAAAGGGCAAACCTGGACGGTTCAGAGCGCAAAGTCCTCATCAACACAGACCTGGGCTGGCCCAACGGCCTCACCTTGGACTACGATACCCGCAGGTAGGCCTCCTGTTCCGCACAGCCTTCTGGGAGGAAGTGGGCCAAGGAGGAGAAGGGGGCTGAGTCTGGAGTAGGCGAGTGAGCAAAAGGGAAGTGTTGCCAGCAGCAAAGAATTGTGGCTTAGCTATTATGGCAGGAGTCCAAGGTAGACCCGTTGCTGAGGAGGGGTCCAGCATGACTCCGGAGGGCACTAGGCTTCCTGTGCCTCCTCACTGTGATTCTTGCCCTGCCTCTTCAGCCTGGGGACCTGGATCCCTAGTGCTGTCTTCCTGCTTGCAGTTGAGCTCGATCACTGTAGAAAGTGCTGGGCTTCCAGGTCGGCCTTTGGGGCAGCTGTGCACCTCCCTTTCGCTTCTCAGGATCTACTGGGTAGATGCACACCTGGACCGGATTGAAAGCGCCGACCTCAACGGGAAGCTGCGGCAGGTCCTGGTCAGCCACGTGTCCCATCCCTTTGCGCTCACGCAGGTATGGGGAGAGAGAGGTCACTGAGCCTCCCGATGGGGGTGTTTCTTCTGCATCCCAGGACACCAAGTACTGTTTCTCCCCCACATCCCCATGTCCTAGCGTCCCCAGGAGTGGCTCTCCCAGTGGTGCGTAGAATCTGCTTGGAGCTTGTTACAGTGCAGGTCCTTGGGCCTAGGAATATGCATTCTGATGAGTTCCCTGCTTGATCCTCATGCCAGAGTTGAGACAGCTGGCTTAGTTGAGGTAGGATCAAGTGGCAAAAGCCAGTGTTTTCAGGCATCCAGCCGGTCAGAGTCTGAGTGCCCTCAGTGATCCAAGGACCTGGGTTCAAGTGTGATCTGTGTTATTAAATATGTGACTTTGAACAAGAAATGGAACCTCTCAGCTGGGCATGGGGTGCACACCTGTCACCCCAGCACTGGCATGGCTGAGGCAGGAAGATTGTAGCGAGTTCAAGACGAGTCTCGGCTACAAAGTAAGCGCTAGTCCACCCTGAACTGCTTAGCGAGACCCTGCCTCAAAAAGAGAAGAAAAAGAAAAGAAATGGGACTGCTAAGCTTCAGTGGTACATAAAACAAATTGGTTTATTAAAGTATCCTCCAGAGCTTTAGCACAGTGCCTGGCATGAAGCAAATGCTAAATGCGTGCTACCTCTGAGCATCTTGATTACTCTTAGATGTCATTTTTGACATCTTCACCACCTCTTCAATCCCTGGGTTGAGAATTTTGTCTCCATTGCCTCAGAAGGAGGCTGCCTGGAGATGTTCAGTAGAGGATTTGGGCCAGAGCTCTGAGAAGGGCCCATTCCTAAGAGCAGGGGGCTAGGTGACCCCCAAGTTCACTCCTGTTGGCTGGGGAGGGACAGACAGGCAGACAGGTACCCAGATCACCATGGTACATCGAATCTCCCGTGCAGAAATGACTGCCAGGTCGGAGACAGGACGGAGCAGGGGGTGGTAGAGTGTATAAGTTTGGGAACATTTCCAGGGCACACACAGGGGTTCAGCCTTGGGCAGCGCACACAGCCTGTGCGCAGGCACAGAAGCTGCCCGGGGTCTGACGGCTCCATGCTCCTTTTTTCTCGTCGGCATCCCCACAAGCAGCAGGACAGATGGATCTACTGGACAGACTGGCAGACCAAGTCCATCCAGCGTGTTGACAAGTACTCGGGCCGCAACAAGGAGACGGTGCTGGCCAATGTAGAGGGGCTCATGGACATCATCGTGGTGTCCCCCCAGCGGCAGACAGGTGGGCCCGGGTTCCAAGCGTACCTCCTCACCCTCGGCAGAACAGGTTGTGGCTGCCAAAGGACAGCCAGTGACCTGAATGCTTGGGGCCACCCAGGAGCCTGTTGGCTTATGTTTTCCTCCTTGCCCTGCTGTCCCTGGAAGTGGGGTCCTGCTAAGTTGGGAGACCTGATTCCGTCTCGGCCCAGATGCTGATCTGCTCTGTGCCTCCAGGGACCAATGCCTGTGGGGTGAACAACGGTGGCTGCACCCACCTCTGCTTTGCCCGAGCCTTGGACTTTGTGTGCGCCTGTCCTGACGAACCTGACAGCCGGCCCTGCTCCCTGGGTGAGTGGGACAGTGGCCCCAGGGCAATGGGGCCCTTGAAGGCTGGGGACCAGTGGCCTCAACTTTACTCTTCTTGGTGGGTGCTCCGTCCAAAGGCCATCTAGTAGAGTGGCTGGAAGGGCAATGTTTGGGGTTCACAATCACTCAGATCTGGTTTTGTCTGGCTTCTGGTGTTTACTAGAACAGAATTCAAGTCTTTCCAAGTATGGTGGCATACACCTATAATCCCAGCACCCAAAAGGCTGAGGCAGGAGAATCGCCATGAGTTTGAGGCCAGCCAGGACTACAAGCATAGTGAGGGTCTGTCTCAAAAAACAAAATGGAATACAAGTCTCCTGTGTCCAAGGCCCTGCCTAGGGAATCATCAGTGCTTTATTCTCTCTTCTTGGCCTTTGTAGGCTGCTGGCCCACCCTCAGCTATTCCCCGTGAATCTATACCCTCTACATTCCCAGTGTTAAGTGGGGGTTCCTGGGATGAGGGTGCTCCAAAGATTGTTTCGCCACGTGCTCTGATTGTTACTCTTAGACCAAATGAAGAGATCTGGGGTTCCTGTGGTCCACTCCAACCCTCTTTTCTCCCCAGTTCCTGGTGCAGTGCCCCCTGCTCCCCGGGCTACAAGCATGAGTGAGAACAGCCCAGTGCTACCCAACACGCTGTCCCCCACCTTTCGCTCTTCCACCAGCAGAATCCGCACAGCTCTGGAGGAGGTGGGAGGAAGGTATGTGGGCTCAGCATGTGGCAGGGGCTCTGGGATTCCAGCCACCACCCCAGCAGTGGAAAACTTGTCCCTGCTCCTTAGACAGGAGGTGGAGCATGTCACTGACCACCTCCAGTCCTTGCCCTTTTGGCTGCTGGGTTGTGGCAAACAAGTCCCTCTCTACTTTGGAGGCAAGAAGCTTTCAGAACAGCTTCAGAAGGAAATCACTTGGGAAGAGTCTCCCGCATGCATTCTTCGTCCTGTCTCTGTCTCTGTGAACCTTGTTCTCGTGTCTGAGGTGGTCCTGGCCTACAGTGGTTTCCAGGCTGTAGCTTTATGCCTTGGAACAAGATTTCCTCAGAGCTCTGATGACCCTTGCACTCAAACACACATGTGCGAGTGCCCACATACACACGCACACACACACACCATTATTAAATAAGCAAGTAGAGAAAAGTTCTCAAATCCAGTATAATTTTTCTGTTTGGTACCAGGAATCGAACTCAGGATCTGGAGCTTGTCAGCCAGGCACCGTGCCACTAAGCTACATCCCTGGCCCTCTAGTATAAATTTTTTGCCCCACACATGTACCTCTTTTAAGTTGGTTTTTTTTTTTTTTTCTTTTTTTTGTGGTACCGGGGATTGAACTCAGGACCTTGCACTTGCGCTTGCCAGGCAAGTACTTATTCTACTGAGCTATCTCCCCGGCCCCCAGCCCTCTAGTATAAAACATTATATTTCATTAATTCAATAGAGCTTTTGTTTTGTGGATTTTTAAAAATTTGTTTTATTGGCCAACCAGATAGTTCAACAGATTAAAGCACCTGCTTAGGCAGATGCAGGGACCAGGTTCGATCCTCAGCATGCTGTGCTGACCCCGCCCCAGGGCCGTGCTGAGACAGTGACTGAGACTGGGTGTGGCGGTGCGTGCCTGTAATCCCAGTGCTTGGGAGGCTTACAACAGGAGGATCTCTATGACTTCAATCTGTGTAGCGAGACCCCATAGACCCTTTACTAAAAATACAAAATAGATAAATAAATTTTTAAAAATTTGTTTTATGGGGCTGGTGAGATGGCTCAGTGGTCTAAAGCACCTACTTAGAACAAGCTTAGCAAAGCACAGGGAGCGCAGTTCAATCCCCCAGCACCACATGCCAGCCAGCCCCGCCCCCTGGTGGGCTGAGCTGGCCACACACACACACACACACACACACACACACAAATAAATTTAAAAAATAATTTTTTTTTTGTTTGTTTTGTTTTATTTCACTTTGTTTTGCAGTGCTGGGGATCAAACCCAGGACCTCACCCATGCTAGGCAAGAGCTGTATCACTGAACTACCTGCACCCCAGTCCCTAGCTTTATTTAGTATCTGTAATTTTTTTTTTTTTTTTTCCGGAACCGGGCATTGAACTCAAGCACTTGCACTTGCCAGGCAAGTGCTTATTCTAATGAGCCATCTCTCCGGTGCCCCTAGCTTTATTTAGAAAACTACTGACCCCACTCAGAGCTTTTCTCCACTCTGAGTTCTATGTGAAGAGCCAGCGCAGCCCAGTCTCGTCTGCACTCGCAAAATAGCTTCTCTCCAGGCTTTTAGGAGATGCCTGGAAGTGCCTGCTCACAATGTGCCGCAAACAAAGCTGCCTTCTGAGCGTTTTTGCGGTAGCTACGCGAGCACTCTCCGGGGCCTCGCATACTCCCTTGTGGAGGCGTGAAGGAAACAGAACAATTTTTTTCTTAACCTAATGATATTTGGACTTTAGATAATCCTTAGCTAATCAGATTGACTTGGCTACTGGCTGCTTCCCACTTCTAGTTATTTCAGAAGCCCTAGGAGTAAAGCTGGGCATGGTGTCATAAGCCTATAATCCCAGCACTCTTGGAGGCTGAAACAAGAGGATCACAAGTTTGAGACCAGCATGAGCAACTTAGCAATTAATGAGATCATGTCTTAAAAAATAAAAAGAACAAAAGAAGAAAAGACAAGGGCTAGAATTGTAGCTCAGTGTACCGAGAGAGAGAGAGAGAGAGAGAGAGAGAGAGAGAGAGAGGAAGAAGAAGGAGGAGGAGGAGGAGGGAGGGAGGGAGGGAGGAGGAAGAGAAAGGAAGGAGGGAGGGAGGGAAGGCAGGCATATTATTGATATCCTTCATATGCTTTTTGTAGGTTTCCAGCTCACTTACAAACTCATTTTTAAAAGGTGCACAGTGGGCCAGGTGTGGTGGCGAATGCCTGTAATCCTAGCATTTGGGAGGCTGAATCAGGAGGATTGCCACGAGTTTGAGGCCAGCCAGAGCTACATAGTGAGTTCAAGGCCAGCCTGAACTACATGGTGAGATCCTAACTCAAAAAAACTAAAAAAATAGGGCCAGGGATACAGCTCAGTGGTTCAGTGCCTGCCTGGAAAGCTCAAGGTTATGAGTTCAATTCTTGGTACCAAAAACCAAACAAATAAATGGAGCACAGTGGAAAACAACTGTAAAAGCAATGTAGCAGACTGAACGCAGTGATTCACTGACACTAATTCCTCTGTTTCCTGCCTTTATCCTCTCCCTGCCCCTGCTCTCTCCTGCCTGGTGTGTTCTCAGGCTCCAAAGCCCCCCTTTCCAGCCTTCTGCCCTGCCCTAGAGGGAGGGAGGGAGGGATGTAGCTCAGTGCGCCCTGGCTCCAGTCCCTGGTACAAAGGAAAGAGAAGAGAGCCAGCGTCGCACGGGTGGACTTAGTGTTCTCCCCTCAGCTCGCCAGCTCACTCCCAGGCTGCGCTCAGCGTCCGAGCCGCCTGCACATTCAGTTTCCTATACCCACAGGTGCACTGAAAAGGATGCCCAGCTGGGCCGCTGTGTGCACTCCAACGAGGCTGTACCTGCTGTTCCAGGTAAGCCCTGAGGCCCCACTGCTTTGGAAGAGAAGCTAGAAGGCCTAACGTCTCTACTCATGTCTCCCATGGGCTTCATAGGGACTCTCATAGGGTTGATAAAATCTTTTCCTAGACAAAACCCATAGAAATAATGATTGTAATCATAATTGCCCTATATGTGCTATGTGTCTGAGTACAGTCACCCCCGTCCCTGGGAGATGGGTTCAAAACCACTGTAGGGTACCTGAAGGCTTAGGTAGGGCTGAATCCTACAGATGCTATGCTTTTTTCCAACATAGACAATACCTATGATAAAATTTGATTATAAAGTAGTAAGAGATTAATAGTAGTTAATAGAATGGTTATAGCATTATACTATAATAAGCCGGATGAGGTGACACACACCTGTTACCACAACATTCGGGAGGCTGAGACAGGAGGATCGCCAGAAGTTTAAGGCCAGACTGGGCTCCATAGTGAACTCAAGGTCAGCCTAAACTACATAGAGAGGCTCTGTTTATTTTTATTTTATTCCATTATTTTAATGTATTTAGTGCAGGGTCTACAGGTCTCACTGCACAGATCGGACTCATAGTGATCTTCCTGTTTCAGCCTCCCATGTACTGGGATTATAGGTGTGTGCCACCATGCCCAGTCTCAGTCACCATCCCACTGTGCCCCCGGGGTGGGGCTGGCACAGCACACCGGGGATCAAACCCTGGTCCTGAGCCTGCCTAAGCAGGCATTTTAGTCCACTGAGCTATCTGGCCGGCTCTCAGAGAGTCTCTGTTTAAAAAAAAAAAACAAAAAACTACTATTAAAGTTATGTTAGTGTTCACATGTATTACATACTCATTTAATTTCTACCAGCCGCATAAGCTATTTATTTAACTAAAGAGAATATATAATGTTGGCTCAGAAGTTAGTTGTCTTGTGTTAAGTCACATAGCTAATAAGTGGTGGAGCTGGGATTTGAAATCCTAGCAGAGTGACAAGTTCCTTCGCAGCCTCCTTGTCTTACCTCCTATGACTTCTCTGAGTGGAAGGTCCCTTGCTAGCCTCAGAGGGCGCCAGACCCAACACCCTTGTGTTTGTCATAGTGCTGTGAGCCTGTAATCCTCGCTTCTGAAGAGGCTGTGGCAGAGGATTGTTTGACCTCCAGCTGAGGCAGGAGGCTCAAAGCAAGTTCCAGGCCAGCCTAGGGTACACGTGAGTTCAAAACCAGCTGAACTACATAGCGAGGCAAAACAAAACCAATAAAAGACCCCTGTCAGGGGGGAGAAAGGAGCTCTTCTTCCTGCCCCTTACACCGCTGCCAGCTAGAAAGAAGGGGGTCGGCGCTCCCTGCCTAGCATCTCTTTCCTCCAGGTGAAGGACTGCATGTCAGCTATGCCGTCGGAGGGCTCCTTAGCATTCTGCTTGTCCTGGTGGTGATCGTGGCTTGGATGCTGTACAGGTAACCTCAGCTCCGCTCTCTGGGCCTTGTTGGCACATCTGGGACCCCCGCAGCACCACAGTTCACCGAACGGACCTCCAAGAGCCTTGTGCCAAGGCTGGCTCCCTGGTGGAGCTGCAGGAGGAAGAACGTCCTTCCTTTAAAGATCCCAGCGAAGCAGCCCCTGGGATTTGTATTCCAGACTGGGATGCTGATGGGACACAGGACATTAGCCAGGGTCACAAGCGAGAGGGCAAGCTGACTGCAGCATCTTAGCCTTCTCCCTTCTCCCCTCTACACTCAGCCAGTGGAAGAAGAAATAGTTTCCTTCGCACAATCCCACCCTTTACCACTGTCTTGGTTGACAGCGTTACTCGGTCGTGGTCATCCTGAGGAGATCAAATGTGTCATTTTCAACTTAGGATCTTTTTGTGTGCCTCTTTCTTTATATTCTTCCACAACTGCTTTAAGTACAGCTCACAGCAAAAATGCCTGAATGTTGCTGCTCATAGTAATGATAGTGATTTCACTTAGCACTTAATGGATACATCCATGTCGTAGCAGCCTTGTAACCCAGCTTATAATTGTTCCCTGCTTCACAAGTGGGAATCTGAGGCTCAGAAAGTTTGCATTGTATGTACCAAGATCTCAGCTAGTAAGTAACAGAGACGAGATTGAATAGAGATCTCTGTGGGCTCTAAAGCCCAGTGTATTAGTTTCCCGTATCAGCAGAATAACTGTAAAATGTAGCCACTTACAATGACAACCATTTCTGATCTCACAGTGTGGGGGGCATCAGAAGCCTGGGTGCACCTTAGCTGGATGCCTCTGCCACCAGGTCTGTGCCAGGCTCCGGGTATCAGCCTGGGTTGTGGTCTCATCTGAAGACCTGATGGGGTGGGGTGCCCTTGCAAACACAGCCCCGTAGTTGCTGGCAGGATTCAGCTTCTCCCCGGCTGCTGGCTGGCAGCAGGAATCCTTGCCTCCTGCGTCTTCATTTCCTCAGGACAGTTTATGCAGGAGAGCTTGCTGCCCTTGGAGCAAAAGCAAGAGATGAACTGAGGGAGGAGACATAATCCAAGACAGGAGCTGGTTTCTTTATAACTTAATGTGGCCTCTATCCCCTTTGCATAACTTTGTCATTAGAAGCAGGTCTCAGGTCCAGGCCACACCCTGGGAAACGGGATTCTGAAAGGGATGACTACCAGGAGGCCCAGGATTCACTAAGACTTGCACAGAAATGTCTTCCATGTACAGCTCCATGTAATTCCCCAGCATTACCCCATAAAGATCTGAATAACTTCTCATCTTTCCTTCCACAGACACAAAAAATCCAAGTTTACTGATCCTGGAATGGGCAACCTGACCTACAGCAACCCCTCCTACAGAACTTCCACTCAAGAAGTGAAAATTGAAGCAATCCCCAAACCAGCCATGTACAATCAACTGTGCTATAAGAAAGAGGTATAAATGGAGATCGCCTCAGGTTTTGGGGAGGATAGGAGTAGTTGTCTGAGTGGATCAGTAGGGGGTTTGGGGTCCCAGCTACCATCCAGGGAGTTCGAGAAAACAGAACTGAGTATAATTTACGTTTCTGGAATCTTTTTTGTAGGGGGTTTTATTTTGTTTTTTGTACTGGGAATGGAACTCAGGACCTTGTGCTTGCCAGGCAGGCACTTGTGCCATTGAGCTATCTCCCCAGCCCTGGGAATCTAGAATCTTTGAAGAACCCTAAGGAGGGTTAGAAAGCAGATCCCAGAAGACAAAGCAGAGTGTACAAGAGGTTTTCTTCTTTCTAGAATTGCTATTCCCCTGCAGTGAAGCCTTGGACTTCCTTAGATGACACCCATGAAACCCAGAGCTCTTGGGACTCTCCCTTTTCTTTAAATAATTTTATTGAGAAACAAATGGCAATGAGAACTGATTGCCACATCCTTTCTCTTATCTCAAGGTCTGCACAAGGACTTTTCTGAAGAGTTCTGAAGACTTTTTTTTTATTTTTGCAGAACCAGGGATTGAACTCAGGCCCTTGTGCTTGCCATGCAAGTGCTTATTCTACTGAGCCATCTCCCCGGCCCTTGAAGACTTACTTGATCTTCTTTTCTTAACTGCTGTCTCACTGTAGTGGAAAGTTATTTGCTAAATGTTTAGGCATGAAAAGTAGTCCTGCTTCAGCAAGGTGTGGTGATCCTGGCAGTATGTCTGTAATCTCAGCCAATGGGGAGGCTGCAGCAGGAGGATCACTATGAGTCTGAACTGTATACCAAGACCCTGTACAAAATAAATAAATAATTTTTAAAAATTAAAAAGAAAGCTGGAGAGATATAGAATTCAGTAGAATAAGCACTTATTCAGTAGAATAAGCACTTCCTTGGCAAGAGCAAGGGCCTGAGTTCAATCCCTGGTTCCGCAAAAAAAAAAAAAAAAAAATTAAAAAGAAAAAATAACTGCCCCTATGGCTCAAGAGATAGAGGGCCAGCCAAATAGCTCAGCAGATTAAAGCGTCTGCAAGCAGGCACAGGGGCTGGAGGTTCAATCCTGGGGCCTGCTGTGCTGTCCCTGCCCTTAGGGCATGCTGAGAGGGCAATTGAGACTGGGTGTGTGGTAGTGCGTGCCTGTAATCCTAGCTCTTGGGAGGCTGTAAACAGGCAGATCACTATGAATCCAATCTAGTAGTGAGACCCTGAACATCCTGTAGACCCTTCCCTAAAATACAAAAAAGAAAAAATTGTGCGCAGGGGTAGCATGCAGATCTGGGAATGACGGAGCCCTCCTCACAGAATTTGTTTGAAAGACTCAAACATTCTTGGGATCCTGGAGGGTTGGGTGCTGCAGAAAAGGAAATAGAACCACAGTGAAGGTCGTCAGTTAGAAATAAAAACAACAACAGTGGAGTACACACTTATTATGTGCAAGGCCTTGGGCTCCATCCCCAGTGCCACCAGGAACAAAAGAAGAAAGAAGAGAAATGAAAATCAAGTGACGTCTTTCTTCTCGTGTCTGCTTCTTTCTCAGCAGCTCTTTCACCCCTCTGATAGCCTCTCACCCTTTCTCTTCTGATTTCCTCTTGATTTCAGGTACCCATTACTGTGTGTGTCCAGGGAGTGCTGTCCCCAGTATCGCTAGTGTTACCTGCCCCATCTGTCCCTGACTTACCCAGTGTGTCCCTGGGATGAGGGCTCTGAGTGGCCCACATCTAACCTCACACTAATGGCAGTTTGGAACGGGCGCTTGTGCTCCTTGTGTGCTTGTGAGCTATCTCTGTCTTCCTCTGCATGCTGGGGACAACTGTCACTTCCATAGGACAGGGGCCAGTATCAAAGCACTTAGCTCATCTTCTGCTGAATGTAGAGCCCAATTACTGTCTATGGAACTGAGTTGTTGCTAACATAAACCAGCAGTTGCAGGTCCCACCACAGAACCCAAAGCTATGATTTATTTGATCCAGGCGGTGGCAGCATGGTAATTGGTTTTCCTCAGAAACCAAGGGTACCCTTTGAGGGAACCATAAAAGGGGAATGCTGAGCAGAAATCCAGGCCATTGGCCACACCCAGTGCAATTTTTGAAATTCCCGGGGAGGTGGGTGGAGGATGAAGAAATGAAGACAAACATCAGAACGCAGAAAGCTGAGGTCAGGTGGAGCCTCCTCTCTGAGCGGGGGAAAAAAAACTGCCCAATGACTGCAGTGCATTGAATTATACACTTGGAAGGTTGATGAGAAGCAAAACCCCTCTGCCTGACAGCTTTTTTGCCTGGCTTACCTCGAGCATTCTCTGTCTAATCGATCTCCAGATCTCCAGCTTCCGCCACTCCCCACAGCTATCCTTGGAAAGATCCAAGGTGCTTGGGAATGGTCCCAGGGCAAATCACCAAAAAAGGTTCTGAGGTACAGGGCCTCCTTGGGTGATGGACATTCCGAACTCAAAGAAGAGGCTATTCTAGAGCTCTCCTGTCTTCCCTCTCAAATTTTCTACTGAACAGAATTGGAAGAGATCATTAAGAGCAAAATAGCATATCAAGAAGTTCAAAATCTAAATAAGTGCTCCTTGCATTGCTTTTGCCAGTTGACTTTAATTATTTATATCGATCAGCATGATGTCCCATTACTAAACCACAGTAGCAGTGTAACAAAAGCTAGCATGTTTTCCTGCATCCTATGTCCTGTGTCCAACACCCGTGATTGCCGATTGCCGCATTGAACCCTCACTGCAATTGCTTGTGAGGCATGGATACTGTTACCCTCCCCACCCTGCAAGTGTGGTGACTGAGTCTTCGAGGCGTTTAAGTAATTTGCCCAAGATGACATAGCCCATGAATGGCTTGTGCAGGACCGGAAGCCCCGGCTCTCCTCTGTATGCGAATGGTAATGTCATTGGAGCTGCCCCTCCTTAAGTGAGCCATCTGGTCTCATTTTCCCATTAGTCTGTGAGTCTTTTACTCGCTTAGCCCATCCAGGGCATTGTCAGATCCTTTGAAGAAAGCCAAGGGACTGACTGTTTGTCTCCGCTCTCCACCCTAGGGTGGGCCCGACCTTAACTACACCAAGGAGAAGATCAAGATTGTCGAGGGAATCTGCCTCCTGTCCGGGGATGATGCGGAGTGGGATGACTTGAAGCAGCTGCGCAGCTCCCGGGGGGGCCTTCTGCGGGATCACGTGTGCATGAAGACAGACACGGTGTCCATCCAGGCCAGCTCCGGCTCCCTGGACGACACAGAGACGGAGCAGCTGCTGCAGGAAGAGCAATCCGAGTGTAGCAGTGTCCACACTGCAGCCACTCCAGAGAGACGGGGCTCCCTTCCAGATACAGGCTGGAAACATGAACGCAAGCTCTCCTCAGAGAGCCAGGTCTGAATGCCCACAGCTCTTCCCTGCCTGCCTAGTTCTTCTCTGTGGACTTCCGGTCCTTGTGCTCGCTTATACAGCAGGCCTCCTTCCCATGTGCTCATCCTCCTCTTCCACCCCATCCTGACTCCCAACCCTCCATGGGAGCTGATTTCCCGCTGAGTCCATAACTACCTGGCCGTGAGATACAATGGTGAGAATTGAGACCTGGATTTTACCACAAACCTCACCTCTTGCATCCATCCTGCGTCTCCTGAAACTGGACTCTAAAAATTCTTTGTCAGTGCAGAGCTGCATCTCCCTGTCCCTGGGCCACTCAGTGCCTGCCTCACAGCTCCAGTGCAGCTGGCAGTGCAAGACTGCTACCCATCACAGCTAGCACACCGGCTTCTCTGAGGACTTGCCCACCCACGGCTGGACTGAGGACCGTGGGTACAGAGAGGGGTGCTTGGATAGAGGCTGAGAGAAGGAAGAGCATGCCCAGCAGGTCTGGGCATTCTTGAAACCTCCAGTCTTGTGTAGCTAATATGAAAAAGCTCTCGGGAGTACTCGGGTGTCCTGCGCAACCTGTCCGTTGCTGGCAGTGGACAGTCTTCCAGCCCTAGGTGTCACTGCTCTGGCAGCTGCAGGTGCCAGTGAGAGGTGGGAGGGGGTCCCTCCCCTCTTTTCCCTCCTGCTGTGATGTCTGGATGCTTCTGTCAGATGACTAGGCCCCACACAGGGTTACTGGCTATTCAGAGTTCTCTCTGGGTGCCACCACTGGCCAGTACCTTTCCCAAATCTTGGATGTCACCAGTTGGGCAGCCAGTGGCTTGAGTGGAGGATTGGGCCTCGGGCTGAGTCTGACCTTTAGGTTTCTGCCACATCCTTCCCGCAGGCCGTGGGATTCGAGGGAAGAGATTCTTCACAGTCATTCAGAGAACTAGAAGTTGCCATAAATGGTCAAGAAGCACAAGTAGAGATGTGGACCACCTGGGGACCGAAGAGAATTTCCTGTGCTCTTTCTCAGTCACTCAGGGACAGGGACAGAGAACTTGTGGCTCAGTGAGGTGGTGACATTCTTAGTCCAGCTATCTTCTCCGCTGACTGACTTTCCGTCTGAGAGACCCTACCACTGGGTTCATGCTCATACATGCCAAGGGCCTGTGTCTGAGGCATGCAAAGGGGGATTTGAAGCTTTCTGCTGCCCTGAAATTTTACCCTAGCACTCACTTGGGGGATGGGCTTGGTTTAACTTTTCTGACGTGGCCTTGTGGCACCAGCAGTCTTCAGAATCCTGTGGCAAAGTGGGCCAGATGAAGGCATCAGGATGAGCAGGGAATAGAAGGGTGAAAGGAAACACCACAGCTGAAGCCCCCCCAGTCTAGGGCAAACCCGGACCCCTCTTCTCCCCAGGGAACAGGAACAGGAGAGGACGATAAGCTGAGAAGTGGGGAGGGTCTTGGGAATTTTCCTGATTCTAAACATCACTCTTGGTTATCAGCCTTGAGAAAGCAGCAGCCAGACTTGTAGGTGAAAAAGAAGGCTGGGATCTAGTCTTTTCTGGTCAGTTCTGTGATTGCCAGAGACAGGTGCCAAAGCCCTTCCCTGCTTTCCGGAGCCAGGCCCAGGTCTGAACCTCCACACAGGCCAGACCCAGAAGGCCTAAAACAGTGCACCAAGCGGGAAAGATGGGGTGCCATTTCCAGGACGAAATGGGGACATTTCACACTTGACAGGCAGTAAAAGCAGAAGCAGTTGAGTCCTTAAATTTAGTTGGGAAGGAGAAGAAATTAAAAAGGTGACATTTTCTTGATGGAAAGGGGAAAGGCTGCTATTGCACTTGGGCTATTCAGAGTGTGGAAAGAACATATTTGAGGAAATATCTATTTGAGCACTGATTTACTCTGTAAAAAAAAACAAAACAAAATGAAAAACAATCTCTCTGTCCTAAACTAATGGAAGTGATTCTCCTGCACTCATGTGTAATGGTTTTAACGTTACTCACTGGAGAGATTGGACTTTCTGGAGTTATTTAACCACTATGTTCAGTATTTTAGGACTTTATGATAATTTAATATAAATTTAGCTTTTCTTAATGACCTTGCCTGGCTTGGAGTCATGACTAATCCTGGGCCTCTCCTGATTGGCTGGGGGACCTGTGCTGTGCAAAACTACCTGTCTGCAGAAGTCGCCTCTAAGACCCTTGAGGAGCAGGGAACAGTGACTACCAACAGAGGCTGTGAGATTCCTGCTGGAGTTTTAGCTCCTCTGGTCAAGACCAGAGTGCACTGACTTGTGACATCCCTAGAGGAAGCACGAGCAATAGGTTTCATCACCAGGGTCACCTCATTGGTTGGCACGGCTGCATGAGGTCCTGCCAGACTGGATGGGAAAACTGTCTGGTCGTTAGTGACATTTCATAGTACCACAGGGAATGCAATGACGTATATCTCAAGTGCCTTCTGTTTCCATTCTAGGTCTTTAAGGACTTCAATGTAACAGAATTTTGAGTCTGCCTTGTGATGGTCACTGGCAAGACTGTGACAGACAAAGAAAAATCTAAGAATAGGGGCAAGAAGGACTAATTCTAGTCCCAGGTCTCCCACCGTCTCTGTTCGACCTTGACAACTTTCATGGGTGTTTCTGGGAGTGGATCACCAAGATTCCATTTATTTCTCACAAGCTGCCTTCTTGCCATGTGTGATGATGTAATCCCAGCACCCTGGGAGGCTAAGGCAGGAGAATTAAGTTCAAACCCAGCATGGACAATTTAGTGACTTGGTGAAACCCTGTCTCATGATTAAATAGAAACGACACTAGAGATACAGCTCAGTGCAAAGGCCCCAGGTTAGTCAGTCCCAGAGACAGGGAGATAGAAATGGAGAGGGAGGAAAGTGAGAGAGAGAGAGAGAGAGAGAGAGAGAGAGAGAGAGAGAGAGAGAGATGACTTCTAGCTCTTTCACTAGGCTGGAATCAGGGGTTCGGGATCCCTTCTCAGGCTCTCTGGATGTGATAGTACTCAGCAAAACGTGACATTCATGCTGGTCTGTATGCAAAGTGCAAAACAAGGTACCAAATCTCAGTAGTTGATTTTCAAAGTCATAAACAATCCATAACTGGGCAGAGTGGCACACCTGTAATACTGGCACTCAAGACCAGTCTGAGGGCCAGCAAGACAGCTCAGCAGACTAAGTGCCTGCTTAGACAAGCACAGGGACCGGGGTTCAATCCCTGGCACCACATGTTGTGCTGGCCCTGCCCCCGGCTGTGCTGAGTAGGCCACCAAGTCTGGGACATCTGTAATCCCAGTGTTGGGGAGGCTGAAAACAGGAGGATTACTGTGAGTCTGAGCTGCATAGTGAGACCCTGTGTCAAGTACATTAAAAAAAAGAAAAAGAAAAAGAAAAAGACCCGTCTCGGTAATTCAGTGACTTACTGAGACCCCATCTCAAAATAAAAGGTAAAGGGGCAGGGCTGTAGTTCAGAACAAAGTTCAATCCCCAGAACCACCAAATATGCGTTTGCACATGGTCACTACAATAATGCTTGGGGCTGGGGAGATGGCTTAGTAGAATAAGCGCTTGCCTGGCAAGCACAAGGGCCTGAGTTCAATTCCCAATTCTGTCCAAAAAGAGACTATACTAATGCCCCCATTCATTCATTCATTCATTCATTCATCTCATCTACCATGGGCCAGACACTGTCTGTGCCTATCACAAGAAATATAGTCTCAGAGTTTCAAGCCTAGCAACACTAATGTCACCTCCCCCACCCCAAAAGGGGGAAGAGGAATAGAAAAAAAGGAAGAGATGATGAAAGCAAGAAAGGATGACAAGTCATATCTAAGTGATGAGAACTGCAAGTGTGAGCTACAGTGGACAGTTTCCCCCATTTAGGACAGAATGCCAGGATAGAAACAAGAATAACAATTTCTTCCTCTTCCACTACTCTTTTAAAATAGAACAAAATAAAAGAAGGAAAGGAGAGATCTTGAAGATGGGTTGATAATTCCTTGTCTGGGTCTCTGGATCTCAACCCTGAAACTGATAAGACAAATTTTTTTTTTTTTTTCCAGAACCAGGGATTGAACTCAGGCCCTTGCGCTTGCTAGGGAAGCGCTTATTCCACTGAGCCATCTTCCTGGCTCTTGATAAGACAAATTCCAACTAGGTATATTTTTAGCAAACTACACTCCAAATACAGTCAGTGTCTTTCTATATTACAGGAACACACTTGTACCCAAGGTGCAAAGATCTCACGTTCATATGGACGCCTCCCTAGCATGAATGGCTGTTTTCAGCAAACCTAGGCCTGAAAACAATGGAAAGGCAATGACACATGGCCACTCAGAGGATGCTTTGTGCATGAATTGGACCTGATCCTGGAACACAGGTGCACAACTTCAGTCCTGAGGCAGGAAGATCACAAACTCAAGTTCAACTTTGCACGCTTTGTCTCCAACTAATGTGACAAGGGCTGGGCTTGTAGCTCAGTATGAAGGTCCTGGATTTAATCCTGAGTACCGAAAACAAAGTAGTAAGGTACATACAGCTCTAAGAGTGACATGCTGCCCGTCAAAGGAACCCAGTCAGTTTTAGCTCATAGATTTTTATTTATGGACATAATGATGGCAGCATTCCTTTTTTTTTTTTTTTTTTAGTACACGGTCTACAGGGTCTCACTACCTAGATCCGACTCATAGTGTTCTCCTGTTTTCAGCCTCCTAAGTCCTGGGATTACAGACATGCACCACCATGCCTAGTCTCAGTCGCTGTTTCAG